CTCCATTCTCATCTAGAGCCATTCAAAGAAACATTGTGTACAGTATATGTGTTTTACAATCCATAATCATTGTGTACAAGTCATTGTAGAGATGCTCTTATTCTGTGTAAGAAGTCTTAAACCAACTATTTGCTATAAATGATCGAAACTTGCAAGAATCTTTTGTTTGATGTTTTTTCCCACAACCAAGAGAATATATTTCAAAATGCTCTCTACACTTGTCGATATTTAACATTAACTATTCTCTCAATTATATGATAGTATCTTTCTTACTAGTTTATTCACTTAAACTTTTTGGAATTTTATTATTATTCGGTTTAGCCCTGATTTTCCTTTAGCTTGGTCATATGTTATTTTTGATACCTTCTATTCATCATCTTTATGGAAAATTTTGATAATCTCTTCCCCACACCAACAAAGTGGCCTATTCTTTTCTAGCAAAATCAAACTGTAAAGTAAATAATGGAGATAAAATGGAATATATATTTTATTTGCTTTGTCTACCATTGGTGTCCCAGTCCTCTCTTCTCAGATAGGTTATAGTGTTATACATCCGCCAAACTGGTTCATTAAAACTTTCTCGTGTTTATACACCCTGTCCCTCATGCTTGAACTTCGCCATCTCAGCAAGCTCATTGACTGAATCCACCAAGTGATCAAGACGAGCTACAAACTCAATCAGCAATGAGGTGAACGTTGCAAGAGACAATGTTGCAGTGCTCTCCAGTGCTCTCATCCTTGGGAGGTTGTCCATTTCAGGGCCACCCATGTCAAACACTTCCACATCTCTTGATGGCCATGAATGAAGCCTCCTCTGTTGCTTCTTCATTGCCTCATGGTAAGATTCGGCCTGAGTTGGTACAGAAGTTGTGTCTTGAGGTGGTGGATTTGTTGATGATTCAAAGTTTCCGCTGCCTCCTTTGCTCAAGTTGTAAGAGAGGTCAGATAGGGTAGATGAGAGAGTATGAGAAAGTTTGGTAAGTGGTTTAGTAGAATTGCTGAAGTTGTCATGGCTTGATGTGAGGAGGTAGGAGTGCAAATCTATGGCTCGTTGAAGGCGCTCGGTTGATATATGTACTTTTTTGAGGGACGTAGATTTTGGTGTATGAATCATGTTGCTTATGTCTTTGCCCAAGGTCCTCACTAATTCTGCTGCATCATTGCAAGCCTCGAGAATCTCTGACTGGAAGGCGATTCGAAGGTTGTATGGTGCCTGGAAGTTGCATCAACCAAACAAAATTTGTCACTAATTATAAGTATGCGCCACAAGAATTTAGGATTTTGAATCATGCGTAACTAGAAGTTCGAGACATGCGGGTTAGCAATGTTGATCTCATTATTGGAGATTGTTTTGAGAAAAGTTCTTGATGTAAACTGCTCTGTGGCTCCTTTACCGTAGCTTAGTTGATGAGCTGGTTGGACTATTTGTGTTAGTATGTAAGTTGAGCGTACAAAATATTTTGAGATGGGGCATTACATCATGGTGGAGGCTAGAATGGATAACTGAAAGCGTTATGCATGCATCACCATATATAATGTTCATGTGATTTCCCTGCATCCCACCTTAATGAAAACTAGGTAACTAGGTATAAGAAAGAGAAAATTACCTGTATCTCAGAGTGTAGGACACCATGAAGGGCCATGACCTCGTAGGCACAGTATCGGAGAACAGCCCCCACTTTGACATATTCTGACCATGGATAGGAGCAGTGCCAAAACCTCCCATGTGGTGGCTCCCATTTTGCTGAATTTGCCTGAGCAAATAAATAAGATTTTCCTGAGCAGTTGGCAACAAATATTATTGTTTTTCCAAAAACAAACGAATGGGCAAAACAAGCTATTGGATACCAGGGTTTCAAGTTTTGACGACGAGTTTAGTGTTGCTTGGCACCTTCTATATGCTGGTTCATCAGGAAACTCGTCCATGACAGTCGAAATAAATTCTGGGTGAACAGACCCATCATCTTCTAAGTATTTTCTGATGCATTCTGAAGTAAAGGAACGTAGAGATTAGTTAGGCGAAAAGTTTTAGAATTATTATAAGACTGATGTAAGCTGTAAAAGGCAACCTTCAAGAGCATCAGCCACAGCGTTGAAGTTTTTCACTAGCTCATTGTGCAGCTGCTCTCCAGCCCATATAGGAAATATAAGCACGTTAACTAAAACAGTCACAAAAGCTCCGATTGCAATCGAGTATAATCGGTCCATGGCCGTTTTAATCGGGCTCCCCATTCGATAACCTGATACTATAATTAAACAGTAGGTGAACAGTATGACTCTGAATCCATACTCATATGGAACAAGTGAGGGCCACAGTTTCATAAACGACGTTACAGCTCCTGCATAGAAAGATTGACTGTGAGAGTCGTAAGGTTTCAATCTACATCCCCTTTCCGGCCCCTCTCCTTTTTCTCTTGCATAAACTAAGAATAAAGGTATAGTTGAATTTGTTTACCAATTAAGAAAATGCTGGCACCAATAATTGTAGGTTCTACGACATGATGTCCAGAGCATAAAGCCACTTGGGCAACAACCACTGCCAATACTCCAGCAAGCAAGCTTCCAACAGCACGGTTGAATCCTCGGTTGAACGTTGCTCCTTCAAGATTAAAAAAATATCAGGGGATCGATCAGAAAGGTTTTGTAAGTAGACTAAACATTGCTGTAAATATGTTATGGTTCATGTTATTAGGGAGTAGTTGTGTGCGTACCAACAGTATATTCAAACATGATGGCGACAGTGAGGATAGACCAGATGATATTAGTTCCGAATACATCATAAGGTGCTCTGAATAGTATGAGCAATGACACAAGGAGAACAGCGAACCCAACCTTCAGTGCGAATATTACTCTGTTGACATCTGCTTTGCAAAATTCCCATACATTATGAAACCATTCTTTAAACGAGAAGCTTTTATTGCTGCATTTGTTATCTGTTTGCTTAGTTTTTTTGAGTTCTGGTATGTTGATTTCAAAGCTACCCTTCTTCCCATTCATTCTCCAATGTAATAGTAGAAGATTTTCTAGCAAGGGCCGACCCGGCCGACCCTGCTTTTGTAAAGAGAGTTCGAGCTTCTTAGCAAGTTGTTAAGTAGGTCTACTGATATCAGTAGTGTCGAAGGGAAGGGATATGGAAAGGATGGCAAGCTATGCTAAGATAGTGAGTGTAATGAATGGAAGTGCAGTGGGGAAGTCTGAATAATTTTGAAGAGTAAATGTGCACAGCTAAGATGAGTGAATTAGAGAAAGGGTGTGGATTTGGTATTATATATGCATCATGCATGCAAAGAATGATGCTGAAAAATCATAGAAGAAAAGATGAAACGTATTACTTGGATATCGATGAAGAGATGCCTTAACCTCAATAATGTGATTTGGATAGAGAATTAGAATCTGATCCAAGAGGGTGCAGTTCTTATTTTGATTTTGCAAAATATCGAAAAACTAATAAAACAACTACTATTACTATTACAACAATAAAGTTAAAAAACCAATGGTGTATAAGTGTATTCATAAAGAGGGTAGGTCCTCATGTATATATTGTTGGAAACACGAGTCTAATTGTATTCCCCAGCATCAGCTTTCATTTTCCACTTCATACAAGCTAAGCTACATGCCTACATTCAATTGTCCCTCCTCGTCCACTTGAACACTGCATATACATCTCTATTTCATACATTCAATTATATTATGTCATCACTCATCAGCTAGCTTACATGCATACGATGATCGAGAGAACTTTCAGTACTTTACAAGAAATTCGATCTGTTGTATAATCTTCAGCTGGGTCACATATATAAAATCTTTGCAAGAATGCATCATGCCTGTTTATGATTCGATCTGTTTAATTTGTTACTGATATTAGAGTATTAGAAATTTATAACACTCGTGAGGATTCCTTTCGTCCTGGTTCAGAATTTTCGTTTGTTTCTGCAATTTTAGGTATTGAATTCATGATCAACAGGAAGCACCTACATACATACTAAAAGAAATTATATTGGATATTGCAACCTCTTTCTGTCACCATTAGACTAGTAGTTGCGGTCAAATACCTCTATCAAATGGATAGAGGAATGATTTCTTAATCCAATAATAAAAAGCATTAAGAATTTAAAATGCTACAAGTTTATATCAGGTGTATACGTGAGGGCATCAGGTTCTGTGGAATCTTATTTCAGAATATTTATCCTGGCAGGCTGGGTTTTGTGTTTCTTGAAGGATGATGCACAACTTGTATCTCTGTCTGTACGTGTGGTAATGAACTCACTCTGAACCTCAACCTCCCCTTCAATAATCTAAATTCTCTTTCAAAACTCCATTATTTAGTAGTGTAAAGCATATATTTGCCTAATAATAGCAGCCTTATGAATCCTCCTCTTTCTTTAGGTATTGACATTGGAATCTGGGCCGGGATTGCACCAATTACAATTATATGGGGTCTAGGCCCGGCCCAACCTTAATAACGATGGTGTAATGAGATTGGGCCTCTATATTGCCCCGGAGCAATGTTTAGGGTCTCGGGATTCATTCCTTTGATTTTCAAAATTGAATCTGACGGTCGTAGATGAATTCTAAGAACAATTTTATTACTTCCCATA